CCGGAATTATCCACATGTCTAGCCTACTTCTTATTATTTCTCGAATCCCAAATTCTCGATAGTTTTTATAGCATAAATTCGTTCATGCATGGCTCATGTCAGTGATAGTGATGATCATTGCAAAATATTACCGAGTCATTTCAAAGATTGAGTTACAATTGATAAATTGAGTGGCAAAGATGCAGTGGCATGACCCGCCATCAAGTGCTTCATCAAATGACAGGAGGGATGGACTTTTGTGTTTAAGTGACTTTCATCAAAAGGTCTACCTGTTCAACGCTCGTTAACGGCAAATCTTTAATCAGCCAATCCATGGGGAGCAATTCAATGCATTTAGGCATGTAGGATGATCAGATACCTAGTGAAGTTCAAACCAGTGTCAGAACTGGAAGGAAGGTGATTTAGTGACTTGACACTTGGCTAGTTTTGTATTTCAGAAACTTCTGATCTACTGGGGTTTTCCACACAACCATCTCTAGGGTTTACAGAGGAATGAGTCAGAAAAAAGGGGAAAATATCCAGTGCAGTGGCGTTCCTCTGGGCGAAACTTGCCTTGTGATGCCAGAGGTCAGGGAGAATGGCCAGGACTGGTGAGGATTAGTAGAAAGGGCAACAGTAACTCAATAACACCTCGATACAACCAAGGTCTTCAGAAAGACCATCTCTGACCGCAAATACATGGAACTTGAAGGGAGGCTACAGCAGAAGAACACCACACGGGTACCATCCTTCCATTCCATCCTCTTCTTCCCGCTATCGTGTCGGGGTTCGGGTGGGAGTGTTCAGCAGAGAGCCCCAAAACTTTCCTTCCCCGGCACATCAACCAGCTCGTTGACTGGGGATTCCCAGGCCTCCCAGGCCAGCGACGAAGATGTATGAAGAGATGTATCCCTCAACCTGGTCCTAGGTCCATACCCCGTGGTCTCTTCCCAGCTGGACGTTCCTGGACAACCTCCAGGGAGGCACCGGTGGCTCCTTTACTAGATGCCCACCCCTCAATGGCTCCTTTCGACGCGAAGGGAGCGGTTCAATCCGAGTCCCTCCCGGATACCTGAACTCCCTCACTTATCCCTAAGGGGACACCGGCCCCTCGGAGAACCCATCTCGGCCGCTGTACCCACGGATCTCAGTTTTTCGGTCATGCCCCTTCTGACCATAGCAGGGCCGTGGAAGTAGGGGTGTGCTGCAGTCGTGCTGCAAGCACCCCCTGTGGGAGGACAGGGGATCTGCACTTCAACAAGATATAATAAAAAAAAAACGATTTCAGCCTTGATGTAAACATCATAATTAGTAAAGATATCACCCTTTCACCCCGTTACATTTTTCCATTTGCCCGTCGATGGGGCGCTTAAGGATGAAAGTGGGGGATGTTGCTTAGAGCGCCCGCAGCTCCAGCCAAAGTAGAGAGAGGATAGGAAGGGATACCGCGGGATACGCGGGGACCGCGGGGTACCGCAGTACGGGGTGTTGTTAGCTTCTGCTGCCGCTTCCGGATTATAAGAAGATGTTTCTACAATGAATGTGGAGGGGATCTCCTCCTGTCAGACTGGAGGCTCGGTAGAGGTAAGGCGCTTCCGTGCTTAGATAGTTCACATTAGTCTAAGTCTTCTCCGTGAGGTCTCAACTGTTCTGATCCAATGATGTAACATATTTCCAAGCACTCTTTGTTAATTATTAGGCGATAAAACAGTTTGAAATCATTCCAACGTATGCTTAACTTAGGAAAGTAAACAAAATATTGTTAAACTGGAGAGATTTAAAAATATGCATAATATAAATGTTACTGATAAATAACGTATGAATGAAACACAAATAAATAAGTTACATATTTGTTTGTTATGTAGGTTATTGAAATGATTCACACTTATTTGATTAATAAATGCAACCGTCTTTTTCATATGGGTGTTTAGAGTTGACCCCTAGATCCAGTCTCTAATTGGGCGCTCAAAGTGCACCAGAGTAAGCATTTTCTTTAAGTTAACACAATCTTCCGGGGGCCCCGGACCCCCCTAGAGATGTGAAGTCACCCCCAATTAAAATGTTATACATACTAAATAAAATGTGAGCCTTGTTATATAAGCTGTCCCCTGTTCAATTATGTTTTCTTTGATGGGTATTGGTCTTTTTCTTTTGTGTTAGAGTGTTTCGTTTGCCGCTAAATCTTGCCGTATAGGTCAGCAAGTGGTTCAGACCAGCCCTGGTGTCATCTTACGAGCACCCCCCATTTTCAAACATGTCACGACCTTGGGTGAGGCATGAACGAAAATGGCCGGTGGAACGAGAGCTTTGCCTTCGGCTCTGCTCCTCTTTTCGTCACAACGGTTGCTGCATAAGCGGCTGCAGTATGCTCCCGCTGCTCGATCTCCGGCCCATTTTTTTTTTTCCTTTCATGTCCATTGTTCCCTACTCAGAACGCAAGGGACCCGGGATACTGAACTCCTTCACTTGGGGTATGACTCATTCCTCTTGGAGTGGAACAGGTCCATCGGTTTCCCTGCTGACGAACATGGCCTCAGATTTGGAAAGTGCTGATCCTCATCCCAGACGTTCACACTCGGTTTGCGAACCGATCCAGTGTGAGTGCTGAAGGTCGCAGACCGATGGAGCCATTAGAACCACATCATCGCAAAAGCAGTGGTGCAATCTTAGATAGATAGATATGATACTTTTAATTTGTCATTGTACAGGTACGAAATATTACAATGAACCTCAAGGTGCCAACACGCAACACAGAGACAATATAATAAACCAACAAGACAATATAAAACCACAGACCTATAAAAACAAGATGGGACCTTAAGTCCACCGATTGCAGACCCCCTCCCCCACAACTACGCCTCGAAATCCTATATCCATGTATATTACAAACAGGGCATTGTGCAGACAAGCGCAGCCCCTGGCGGAGGCCAACCCATACCGGAATTGGGTCTGACTTACTGCCGAGGACCCGGACACAGCTCTCGCTTGAGGGTACAGAGATTGGATGGCCCCCTGAGTAAAGAAGACCCCTCAACCCCATACATCCTGCAGCACCTCACACAGTAACTCCCTGGTCATAAGCCTTCTCCAAGTCTACAAAACACATGTAGACTGGATAAAGCGTACTCCCAGGCCCTTTCCAGGATCCTTGCGAGGTAAAAAGCTGATCGTCGTTCCACACACAGGACGGGAATCCGCATGTGTTCCTCTCATCTGACTCCTGTCAGTTTAAAACAGGAACTGAGGCTACATTCACACGGGTTCACCAACTGGCAATAATGGCCTGGTCTGATGTATTCTCCATTTCGGCCGCGACATTCGGACAGTAGGGTCATAATTTGTCGTAGTAACTAACATGAAAGCATGGATCCTCCTGCCTTGAATCACGGTTCATGCTGGCGGTGATGTAATGGTGTGGGGGATACCTGTCTTGGCGCACTTTGGGCCCCTTGTACCGATTGACGCCACCCACATGACATGATATTGTTTCTGACATGTCCATCCCTTTATGACCCCAGTGTACCCATCTTCTGATGGCTACTTCCAGCAGGATAACACACCATTTCACAAAGATCAAATTATCTCCAACTGGTTTCTTGACTATGAGAGATTGGCATCATGGATGTGCAGCCGACAAATCTGTAGCAACTGCCAGATGCTATCATCACGCAGGGGGTCCAACTAGCTACTAACTATGTGTACCTAATAAAGTGGCTGGTGAGTGTAGGTTAACCTACTGAATAAAAAAAAGAGCAAATGAACCAAAGAAAACATAAAGCAAATTCAGGTAGTAGGCTTATAGGTTCACACTACACAGTAATCCTACTTTGACTTAAAGTTGACCTATCATGCAAAATGCAATTTTGTACGTCTTTTATACATGAATATGTGTCC